GCCCAGGGGAGGGGGAATGGATTTGATGATTTGATCAGACCTAACAGTGGGCGGGGGGCAGGGGACCTGGTGGAGGAAACAGCTGATTCAGCCAAAACCCTCACCCACTTCCTTCCCCCACCACTTCTTCTTCCGACTGGTTGAGCCAGCAGATTCCTAAGCCCCAAGTTTGGCAATTGCCTCTATGCCAAACCACTTCCTCCTGGGCAGGGCTGGGCAGCACCCGGCGGGGGCTGACGAGAAGCCACCTAAATCTCACCCACTGACCTCCAAGTGTTTCTAGAAAACACTGCTGTGGGCACAGCTCCTGGGGCAGCAACTCCTTCCCGAATCAGGATGAGGGAAAGACCTCCCTGCCTACAGCTCACTGCCCCAACCGGGAAAGCTGGGGGAAGGCCAGGAACAGAGATGGGGCGTGAGAGATGGGGAGGCAGAGGGAGAAGTCAGGGAGGACTTCCCGGAGGAGGCTGCATCCTGAAGGAAGGTAGAATAGGGACCGGGATGGTCTTTTATAAACAGTCCGGGGAGCTGGAAGACCAGGCAGGAGGAGAGGCCGGGACACAAGAGGGAGAGGATGCAAGGGGAGGGGGAGGGGTAGGAGAAGGTGCCAAGTCAGTGTGGGCGAGGTGAGCGGGTGTGGCGTCCACACCCTGAGGAAAGCTGTTGTGGTGAAATCGGAAAGGTGAGAAGCGTGTTGAAGAGACAACTCCAGGAGGCCAACACGTGAGGGCAGAGGGAGAAACGGCAGGGGAAGCAGGGAAGGGCCACGCAGAGAGAGAGACAGACAGACAGAAGGAGGAGACAGAGAGACAGAGAAAACTAGCCAGGCCTGGAGCCAGCCTGGGCAGAGGGCAGAGGAGGGATGTTGGCAGTCGAGGTAGAAGGGACACCCAGGATCTTCCTTCCTGCCCCCCCACCCCTGGCCAGGTGGCTGGGCTCAGGTCTTCCCCTCCACAGCCTTCCTGCCCAGCAGCCAACGCTTCCGATCCAAAGCCGGGCAGCCCGACGGGGCCCCGTCCTCCTAGGGCTCAGACGGCACCTGGACGTACAGGCTGTCCCCAAGCAGACACGGCTGCACGGAGCCCGCAAGACCCGGCCAGCGCCGCATGACGACGGGCGTCCCCTGCACTCCACCTGCTCTTGCAAATAGGGAAGGGGAGGCAGCCCTGGGCCATCCAACGGGGTGGCCGCCCGTCCTGGGGGCGCCTGGGCACTTGGAACGGGCCAGTCCGCACTGAGACGCGCTGTGAGTGTGACACACGTGCACACAGGGTTTTGAAGACTTGGCCCAAAACAAAACAAAACAAAACACGAGTAAGAGATCTCGTTGACGATTGTTCACACCGGTTACATGTTGAAATAAAAATATATGAGCCGAAACCAGTGTGGCTCAATGGACAGAGCGTCGGCCTGCGGACCAAAGGGCCCCGGGTTCGATTCCGGTCAAGGGCATGTACCTTGGTTGCGGGCACATCCCCAGTAGGGGGCGTGCAGGAGGAAGCTGATCGATATTTCTCTCTCATCGATGTTTCTAACTCTCTATCTCTCTCCCTTCCTCTCTGTAAAAAATCAATAAAATATATTTTTTAAAAAAAATATGTTGGCCCGGCTGGTTGGGCGCAGTGGTTAAGCATCCACCCATGAACCAGGAGGTCAAGGTTCTATTCCCAGTCTAGGCACATGCCCAGGTTTCAGGCTGGATCCTCAGTAGGGAGCCTGCAGGAGGCAGCTGATCAATGATTCTCTCTCATCATTGATGTTTCTGTCTCTCCCTCTCTCTGAAATCAATACAAACATATTTTTTAAAAGTATTTTGGATATTTGGAGTTAAGCAAAATAATTATCAACTGTATTATTATTTGATATATTAAATATCATTATATATAGCACTATAATATAATTATGTCATTAATATTACTCTACTGTATCAATACGTATACATTATATACATAAATATAGTATTAATGTTATATAGTGTCTATATTATATAATATAGTTATACATTTTATATGATATAATTATATATAATTATATTTTATTGTATAATTATAAATAAATTTAATTATTAAACTAATAAATAGCAATTAATATATTTAATATTTAATAAATACAACTGTGTACTATATTGCTGTTCATATAACATGCAATCATCCTATCTAATAAAAGAGAAACATGGTAATTGGCGTACGACCGCTACCCTTCCCATTGGCTAATCAGTGAGATATGCAGATTAACTGCCAGCCAAGATGGCGGCCCGCAGCCAAGCAGCTTGAAACTAACATGAGGCTTGCTTGCTTCAGTGATGGAGGAAACCAACGTTCCCCGCCTGCCTTGCCGGC